TAAAATTCAAAACTCAAAATTATTTCAAATAGAAAAATCAAAATGATTAATTTAAAAAATGTCAAAATGAAGTGTCTTTTTTCCAGAATATTTTTTAACAAAAACAGTTTTTTGAATTTGTCTACCCAAATATGCATTTTTGACCCCAAAACCCTCCAAAACTGTCTGAAAAATTTTCAACCACCTTTTAGCCATATGTGTTCATTATGAGGATTTTTGAAGTGATTATCCAGGGATGGGAGGTGGGGCAGCTGTGACATTATAAAATGGAAGGAGTTTTGATACAGTGACATGAATGCTTTCTAATAACGTTATCTTGAGAATTCCCTGGGTGGCCATCCAGCTAAACTGAGTTTTCGGACCCCTTGAGTGGTCAAACATTTCAGCATATTTTTGGATATCTTCACAGAGTGCTTTAAAAATATTTCCCCTATTTTTATAGGCCCATACTGTGGTGTAATGTGACTACAATTCCTGAATGTATAGGAAGTGATTGGATACTAAGATGAGTTCTGTCCAAAAGTCTGCTATATAACGAACATACATGTCTTTTTTTATGCACTTTACCTCAGAAGCTGATCAAAATGCACAGCTTATCCCCTATATATTTCACCACTCTGTTTAATTTTTTGAACACACACAATGCATTTGTTATACAAAAACATAATGTATTGTCTGGTCTTTCAAAAATGTATTTCCATATTTTTCTCTCTACAGTAATTTTTCTTTTTCTTTAAAGCAATTAAAAATTGTTCTTAACTATTCTGTTCCCTGCGTTTACATAACTCAAACCAATGTTTATATTTATTACACTATAGTACATTTCCTTTTTTTTTTTAACAACTGTAGTTGAGCAATCATTCTATTTTCTCATATTTCTGTACACCACTTTTCAGACAAAGAACAATTTTAGGATCAATTTGTGCATTCTTTGCACTCAAAGTTCAATCAGAACTTTTGGCATGTAAGAAATGTAGTACTGGACGCATTATCGATGATACTTTGTGTTCCTGTAGTGGGGAGAGGATAGGTGAGAGAGCAATCTTTGCACACACAGATCAGAAAAAACTAGTCATCTTTTAAAGCTGTTACATTTTTCAGTTGAAATAAATAAATATAGTTAACTTTTTTTATTCAAAAATATTTTTGACAAAATATTGCCTTTTCGCTATGTGAAAATGTTCATGGAAATGTTTTGTTGCTTTTAAAAATTTTCAGATTTTTAACTAATAGAAAATCAAAAACAACCAAGGTAGTGGAAAATGTCCACAAAAAGTTCTGTAATTTTTATAAAAATAATGAAAATTTTTCATTTTAATTGGGGAGGAGTATTGATACAAAATACTTACTGTTTTCTTAACCTTTTCTAAAAGTTATGTCTTTTCTATATTTACCTTTACTGTAAAGATGCAGTTAAGGAATCAAACAGCCTTACATTAACCAGAAAACTCTAGTTAAGAAATTTACAAATATGTGTATATCTGCAGATAAGCAATAAACATTTTGGATTAAGCTCTTAATGAAGGAGTGAAGGAATTTAATTAAAAAATTTGTATCACTCTAAAGCAGTTCTAAATTTTGGCTTAATTGTTGATATTATTTTCTTAAATTAGTTTGTAACTTCATCTGTATTACTTGTAGAATTCTCGCAATAACTTTGGGATTTTTTCTCTAATTTAGTGATTATAAATGAAAAAATCTTAAATTGTTTTCAAGACCACACATTCAGGGAGAACTAAGAGAATTGCTAGGCCCATGGGCAAAGTATGTGTTGTGGGACGGGGTTCCTTTGCATTCTTAGAAGAGCTGGGACCTTAGGCAGAAAGGGCAGGGCAGGGCTGGGGCAGAGAGCCCTTGGGACTGCCTGGAGTGTGGCACTCCAGTGGCAAATTAAGGGCCTGGGAACTGCCCCTATTTTCCCCCCTCATTGGCAGGCCAGCACTAGATGAGTGGCGATGGACTGTGATTTCCAATTTACAGCATTCGCTCTGTCTAATACATGTCTAATACAGAGATTTTTGTCATCAGATAGAGAGCAGAGATGGTTGGCTGTTCACATTTTTTGTAAAGTGGACATTGTCCAAATTTGTGTCTGTTTTAGCTGTTAATTTACATGTTTGTATCTATGCCCAGAAGTTATGTGAAGATGGATGCTTAATCAATCATTCGATAAATAAAACAATTATGTTAAATTCTGTTATATTTTTTTTATTATTTTTAATTGCATCATTCTCATTATATGAAGCCAAAACAGTACACAGAAGTGTGAGGGGATGAAGAGAGTGTAAGTGCATGTGCATATTTTTTAAAATTACACTGAAGGTCTGATTTGGTTTCCATTTTTGCACTCAGAAATAATTATGGGTATAAATGCTCCTGTTAGAAGTGCTACCTAATTGCACTCTCAAGCCAAGTAATTAGATGTCTGTATTGGGCACTTTTCTTTATAGATGCAAACCATGCTTGCAAATTTTAAAAATCTGCCCCTAAAGGCTTGCATCTGCTGAATTTAATGGAATCTTTGCCACTGACATAATTGGACCTGTAATGGTAAATTTGTCCCTGTGCAGGGGGTTAGAACAAGGCCTGTGTTCTGGTCAAATCATCAAAATAAGATTGAAATGATCCATTGCCTTGTCTGGCCCTCCAATCAGGGATGGACACCCTGACTGAGGATTTCTTGGTTGTATTACTTAGATCAGCGTTTCTCAAACTTTTAGGGCTCTGGAGTCCTTTACATGCATAAAAATTTATGTAGAGCCCCAGCGGAACACTGATTGTGTGTGTACCTATCCATGTTTCCAGTTTGTCAACCTCGCGGAGCCCCTGGAGATGTCTCGTGGAGCCCTGGGACTCCGCGGAGCACAGTTTGAGAAACACTGACTTAGATTTCTTAAACCTGGACCAATATAAAAGGAAGAAGTAAAACTAGCAGGGCCGACAGCCAGTGTGGGCCTGGAGGCAAGGTGTGGAGGGGCCTGGTTCTGCACTCTGGAAGGGGTGGAGCTGAGGGCAGTCAATCCTTAGTGCCATCCAGTACATGGCACTAGGCATTCCCCCTGCTCTGAGAGCCAAGGGGCGCAGGGCTTCGGCCTCCACCACTGCCGGTCTGGGAGTTCCAGGCCCCTGTGCAATTGCGCGCTCCCCTCCCCCATCTGCAGGCCTAAGTAAATGTATTTGAGTGTGTTCTTAAAATATTTTGATGATATGATTATATAGCCTCAAAAACTGCAATCACGCAATGTACTGTGCAGGTCAAGAGAAATATGGAGTGCTGAGTATTCCTCAGAAATAGGTGAAATTAGTTTCCTACTGAAGTGCTTCCTTTCATTTAGGAGGTTGTGAATATCCTTAGCCACAAGGGATGTAAGTAACCATACCGTTTTTGACACAAGATTGTGGGAAAGAAGCTTTCACTCCATTGTAAAGTAGGGAAGAAAGATTGATACTTCATAAAAACATTAACTTGAAATTAGGGTTGCCAGGTATCTGATATTGACCCAGACAGTCCAGTATTTTCACCTCCTGTACAGTAATAAACTTCAGAAAATACCAGACACCTAAAATGTCCGTTATTTTCTGAATTTTTTTTCCCCCAGCCAGGAGGCAAAAATCCCGGGTGCTTATCTGGTTCCACAGGAGAGCTGTCTGGCCCAGAGCAGGAAGACAAGATGGTGGATGGCTGCCGGCAGCCTGTTAGGGCCAAAAAGCCCCAAAGGCATTTCTTAAAAGGGCCATGCTGGGTTTTTTGGGGGTGCTTTTTGTTTTTGTTTTTTTGCTTAATTCGAGGGGGCTTTTTTCCCCCCTCAACAACTTTGGTCTCCCCCTTTTTTCCCCTGGTGGTTTTTTTTTTGCGGGGGGGAGGAGGTGTTCAGTATTTTTGGTTAAACAATCTAACAACCCTACTTGAAATATATATATTTTAAATACTGTATATCATAATTAAAAAAATAACTGAGGGTAAAAATACTAATTCAGCTATCCACTCATCTCAAAGCTAGTAATGTTTGCTTTTGGAATCTCATGAATGACAAATATAATAAAGTAATAAAATATTGCATACCAGATGAAGTGGGTGCTTTTCATAAAGACAAGCCTCCTGAGTTCTAGAATATACTGTAGGATCAGATAGCGTTAAAGCCTATGTAGGCAGTGCAGATGTAATTACATTTGAGCTGCAAATAGTCTCCATATCTCATGTGGATTCTCTCTTTTAATGTAATGTAAATACTGTAATGTCAAAAAAAATTGACTCTATCCTTTCATCATCTTTATGAATATTTTTGTGTCTTATCAAGAGATTTTTCTTAAGTGATATAGCACTGGGCTGTTCTATAAAAATGATATGCATGTGGGAGTGATTGTGCTTGGTAATGCTTTATCAGTTCCATAACCTACAGACTCATTAAGAGCTAATAAAGTGAACACCTCTTTGTTTGAATAGTAATGTTATATTTCCTTTGTACAAAACATTAAACATGCTCATGTCTCATTAATGCCTATATACTGAACTGGACAAATAGTTTTTTGTAAAGAAGAAAATCAGAATTTGTAGCTTAACAGTCCTCATATTTTGTTCATAGTTTGGCCCCTATATTCATAGAGAGATGATCTTGTGTTTATCTCCGCCCATTCAGGATTGCACTAAGCACGTTAAGATGGCTCCTCTTTCCTGACACTGTTAACAGTAGGTAGAATGGCTCTTCCTCCTTGTTTCCAGCTTCTTTACTAGGAGGAGCTTGAACATCTATAGAATCAGTGGGGAAAAAATGAGCTAGCTCCACAGACTATGGGTCCAGGGATTACCAAAATGAGCTAGCTCCACAGACAATAAGGGTCCAGGGATTACCAACTCCATGGATCAAATACTGGGAATGAGAACTGTGCCTAAGCTGCTATGGCCTCATGGCAAAACCAAAGGGACAACTATTTCAAAAGGAAGTTTGTTGAAAAATAAGATTGGTGGTACAACTTTAAATGGGATATTTTTTCCCTTACAGGATTACTTACTGCCATCTGCCCTTCCAGAGTAAATGGCTCTACGTTGGAACAGAGCGGGGAAATACACACATTGTAAATATTGAGTCTTTCATTCTTTCTGGATACGTTATCATGTGGAACAAGGCAATAGAACTGTAAGTGTGGATCTTTTTATCACTTTCACATTGCTTGTAATTCTTTTCAGCTTCTTTTCTGTGAAAATTATTTGGTTATAACCAATCACTATAATTACTTTGTAGTCTCCTATTTTAAGGAACATTTTTTCTGTACTGAGTGTTTCATCACAAAAGAATTTTACAAGGAAATTCAATTTCTAGGTATATTATAATGATATGATGTCATCTTTTGAAAAGCTATATTAGTTTGATACACAATGCCATTAACAGAATAATATATTTGCTTGAAATATTTAATACAATGTAGGCAGTCATGCACCCCACAAAGTCACTGAACATCCATTGGACCCAACTTTTGCATTGGGACATAAGGTTTGGAAAATTTGATCACCAGAGATCCTCTAGGTCAGTTGTTTACAACATTTTTTGCAGAAGTGAGGCAAAATCAAATCAGTATCTTAGATGGCTATATACAAATGCAAGAAATATTGGTAATTAGCATTTCAAGTTGTTCCTACTTATAAATAAACATAACTATGACATCTGTGGCTTAAAGTAAAAGGTTCGGAAATGTGGCTAGTCCCAGGACGGCGCAGAGACAGGCAAACTATTACTAAATATCTTTTAAACTTTTATTAGAATGCTTCCAATTATAACTTTTCTTTATTAGTCTCTTACATGTGTGGCCGCCAAATAACTATTAGTAGGAGCAATAAGCAAAGTCCAATACAATAAATGAAAATTCCCTGAGCTTTTTCTAAGTCCCAATAGTTGTCAATAAGGGTCCAGGGATTATCAACACTTACATTTACATCAATCTTACTCATAAGTCTAATTACTTATCTAAAACTCTTAACAATACTACTTAACAAAACTTTTAACGAAGTTTAGATAGCAATACTCACACTTAAAAAAAACACAAAGTAAACAGCATAGTTGGTATACGTTACACTCTACAGGAACTCATTCGGTTCGGTGAGCGGGAGGTGGCCCTCGGGTGATCAGTCCTTGGGCCTGGCTCGTATTCTGCCATTCAATGTTTATTCGGGATTCCTCAATTTGATACAGGAGGGGAAGCTGTTTTATAGAGAAAGCTTTTGCGCGCTTTTTGTGATAGGCTAGCAGACACTGTCTGTCTTTCCTTTTCTGCCTTATCGGGCATGGCACAGTCAGCACAACCAGCACGAACTTTACATGAACTTTTGGGTCTGGTTTTGGTTCCTGTTCGTCGCTGATCTTTAAGTTACATAGTCTAAGGGTTTTCATTAAGGGGAAGTTGACCTTTTGCTTGGATGGCAATACACACCAGAGGCCTGGCCAGCAAAGAGCCTGCTTCCACAACATCGTTGGTATCATAGAGACTTGGTGGGATAATACACATGATTGGAATACTGGTATAGAAGGTTATAGCTTACTCAGGAAGGATAGACAGGGTAAACGGAGGAGGTGTTACCTTATATATTAAAAATGTACATGTTTGGACTAAGGTGGAGATGGAAGTGGGAGACAGACTTGTCGAGAGTTTCTGGGTTAGCTTAAAAGGGGTAAAAAACAAGAGTGATGTCATGCTAGGGATCTACTACAGACCACCTACCTAGGCAGAAGAGGTGGATGAGGCTTTTTTTAAACAGCTAACAAAATCATCCAAAGCACAGAATTTGGTGGTGATGGGAGACTTGAATTATCCTGACATATGGTGGGATATTAACATAGCAGGGCACAGACTGTCCAATAAGTTATTGGATTGCATTGAAGACAATTTTTTATTTCAGAAGGTTGCAAAAGTTACTGGGGGGGAGCTATTCTAGATTTGATTTTAACAAATAGGGAGGAACTGGTTAAGAATTTGAAAGTGGAAGGCAGCTTGGTCAAAGTGATCATGAAATCATAGAGTTCATGATGCTAAGAGGTTGTAGAAGGAAGAACAATGGGAAATAGAAACAGTGGATTTTGGGAACACAGATTTCAGTAAGCTCAGAGAGCTGATAGGTAAAGTCCCATGGAAAGCAAGACAAAGGAGGAAAAACAACTGAAGAGAGTTGACAGTTTTTCAAAGGAACATTATTAAGGGCCCAAAAGCAAGCTATTCTGCAGCTTAGGAAAGATAAAAGTATGGCAAAAGACCACCATGGCTTAACCAGGAGTCTTATATGATCTAAAAATGAAAAAGGAGTCCTTTAAAAAGTTGAAACTGGGACAGATTACCAAAGATGAATAAAAGCAAACAATATAGGTATGCAGAGACCAGATTAGAAAAGTAAAGGCACAAATCAAGCTCAAATTAGCTACAGACATAAAGGGAAACTAGAAGACTTTCTATAAATATATTAGAAGCAAGAGGAAGACCAAGAACAGGGTCCCTCCTCCATTGCTCAGTGAGGAGGGAGAAAGAGTAACAGGAAACTTGGAAATGGCAGAGATGCTTAATGACTTCTTTGTTTCAATCTTAACCGAGAAGTCTGATGATGAAGGAATGCCTAACATAGTGAATACTATTGGGAATGGGGTAGGTTTAGAAGATAAAATAAAAAAGAAGTTAAAAATCACGTAGAAAAGTTAGATGTCTGCACGTCACCAGGGCTTGATGAAATGCATCCTAGAATACTCAAGGAGCTAATAGAGGAGGTATCTGAGCCTTTAGCTATCTTTGAAAAATCATGGAAGATGGGAGAGATTCCAGAAGACTGGAAAAGGACAAATATCGTACCCATCTATAAAGAGGGAAATAAGAACAACTCAGGAAACTATAGACCAGTCAGTTTAACTTCTGTGCCAGGAAATCTAATGGAGCAAGTAATTAAGGAATTCCTCTACAAATACCATGAAGATAATAAGGTGCTAGGTAACAGCCAGCATGGATTTGTAAAGAACAAATCATGTCAGACCAATCGGATGGATTTCTTTGACAGGATAATGAGTTTGGTGGATAAGGAAGAAGTGGTGGATGTGGTATACCTAGACTTTAGTAAGGCATTTAATACAGTCTCACATGATCTTATCAATAAACTAAGCAAATACAACTTAGATGGGTTTACTATAAGGTGGGTGCATAACAGGCTGGATAACCATTGTCAGAGAGTGGTTATTAACCATTCTTATTTGAGCAGTGTCCCGTGGGTGATCCACTGTGGGGGTCGGGATTGTTCCAGTACCGCAGGGGTCTCTTTTGGACTGATTCTGTTTTATATCTTCATCAACAATTTAGATATTGTCAGAGAGAGTACGCTTATTAAGTTTGTAGATGATACAAAGCTTGGAGGGGTTCCAAATGCTTTGGAGGATAGGGTCATAATTCAAAATCATAGAATCATAGGACTGGAAGGGACCTCGAGAGGTCATTGAGTCCAGCCCCCCGCCCTCAAGGACAAACTAGAGAAATGGTCTGAGGTACATAGGATGAAGTGTAATAAGGACAAATACAAAGTACTCCACTTAGGAATGAAAAAGTGTTACATATACAGAATTGGAAGTGACAGTCTAGGAAGGAGTACTACTGAAAGGGATCCAGGGGTCATAGTGGACCACAAGCTAAATATGAGTCAACAGTGTGATGCTGTTGCAAAAAAAGCAAACATGATTCTGGGATGCATTAACAGGAGTGTTGTGAACAAGACCTGAGAAGTCATTCTTTCGCTCTACTCTGCACTGATTAGGCCTTAATTTAAGAATTGTGTCCAGTTCTGGGCGCCACATTTCAAGAAAGATGTGGAGAAATTAGAGAAGATCCAGAGAAGAGCAACAAGAATGATTAAAGGTCTTAACAACATGACCTATGAAAGAAGACTGAAAGAACTGGGCTTATTGAGTTTGGAAAGGCGAAGACTGAGGGGACATGATAGTGGTTTTTAGGTATCTAAAAGGGTGTCACAAGGAGGAGGGAGAAAAATTGTTCTCCTTGGCCTCTGAGGATAGGACAAAAAGCAATGGGCTTAAACTGCAGCAAGGGAGGTTTAGGTTGGACATTAGGAAAAAGTTCCTAACTGTCAGGGTGGTTAAACACTGGAATAAATTGCCTGGGGAGGTTGTGGAATCTCCATTACTGGAGATATTTAAGAGCAGGTTAGATAGACATCTATCAGGGATGATGTAGACAGTGCTCGGCCCTGCCATGAGAGCAGGGGACTGGACTTAATGACCTCTCAAGGTCCCTTCTAGTTCTAGTGTTCTATGATTCTATGATTTTTTTTCATTTGTAATCTTCTAAAAATTTTTGAATGGAGCTGCTGACAGTTTTGGAAATATTAGATGTAGTCTGTAGACCATAGGTTGAAAACCATTGTTCTAACTAACTACATTTCTATGTTAGCCACCCAAATGTCCTCCTTAGGCAGTGCTAGTTCTCATTTTGCTTTGTAGGTGAACAATTACCCCAAATTCCTTGGAAGTGTTCCCCTGTGATAATAAGCTCTTGTCACTGGCTACTCACAGAAATACTAGGTTGCTATCTCCAAAGGACTGTGTACAGGCTGTCTTGATTGAGTCAACTGAAGATCGCATCATATACAGGCAGTCCCCGAGTTACGCGGATCCGACTTATGTCGGATCCGCTGTTACGAACGGGGCTTTTCTCGCCCCGGAGGACGGGAGCGGCGGGACGCCCAGATGCGCCGCGGTCCGCCGCCCCCGTCCTCCGGGGCGAGAAAAGCTGCTCCCCGTCTCCCTGTTCTGCAGGGAGACGGGGAGCAAAGCCTTGGAGCACGCCCGCAGTGGGACAGCCCGGGCGCGCTTGAGCTGTCCCCCTGCGGGCGTGCTCCAAGGCTTTGCTCCCCATCTCCCTGCAGACCAGGGAGACGGGGAGCAGCTTTTC